TTTTCCATTGCTATCAGGTTCGGCTTAATTCCCTCTGTGCTACGCTGATGAGTCCACAAAGGACGAAACAGTTGTCCGCAGATTGAGTATTGATAACGTCCAGTTTCTAGGTGGCAAAAACTGGCGATTGGCCGCGACGATCGTGGCCAAATACGTCCACAGGCACTCGTGAAACGCGGTGAGGAACAGTGGAACACAGACCATTCATGAACACTGTCCAGGTCTCAACTCAAGTGCTACCGTCATCAGCCTACGAAGCGCAGTTCTGGGTTCGGATTCAAATAAATGCTAGTGCGCCAGAAGAGCAACATATGAGGGGCTACGGAGTTGGAACGTCGCCGGAGCTGGACTGACTGCAACTGTATCGGGCAGCAGGAAATCGAAGTCCACGAACTCGCCTCTCTGGACGCGATAGAGAAGGGCCCGTATAGGACAGTCAGGTTCACCTGCTGTTGGTGCTGCATGCGCATATGGCGGTCGTCACTGCACCGGGCTCCCAGTAGGGTCCGGCCTGCTGGCGGCGAGCGGCGATACGGATCCAAGTAGAGCGAGGAGAAGCTGGGTGGCGTTGGTGACGGCAGTGGACAACTCCCGTTGTTACTTCCAACAGAAAATCAAAGTCCACGAACTCGCCTCTCTGGATACGAATTACGATCGTCAGGCTCGCGCTTGCTGTTGCAGTGGTGGTCTGCGTGGCGGCCGTCGCTGCGTTCGCAGTAGGCGGGCGGCGGAGCCAGGTAGAGCGAGGCGATCCGGAGAGGTTGGACGCCGGTTGGTGACGACGACATTGTTTCAAGGCACAAACAAGGGTCGCTGAGATCGCGTGGAGGTACTTCATTTCAGGAAACCTGATGATGGCGCAAGCTAAAAAAAAAAAAAAAACCACAGTCGACGTTCCACTGTAGACGACGACATTGTTTCAGGCACCAACAGGCACCAACAGGCGTCATTGAAGTCTGAATTGAAACGTAGAGATACGAGAATGCAAGCTTGAAAGTCAGGAAATTGTTTCGGGAACACCTGTTCCGCAAGTTGCACGCTCGAAAGTCCAAACAGCAATGACATGAAAGAGACATTGTACAGGATATTGAAGGGCGCGTGCCCACGTGACTCGCGCATGCGTGCAGGTTGGGCCAGCTCGCTGGGCTGGCTGCTAACTCGCGTTAGCATGCTAACGCTCATTACACATGCTCAGCTACATGTATGGCATTTTAGTATGTGGGCGACTTCAAAGTTCTATTTTGGTAGTTAGCTAAGGTAGAAACTGTCTAAACTTGATCCAAAGCTCTACTACTATGTTCTGAAGATGTTGCAATCAAGTAATGTAAGACACGTATCTGCCGCATTGGAGCTAGTTGTGAAAACCTTTAGACCATACACACAATGCACATGCTCAGCTATGGCATTTAGTATGTGGGCGACTTCAAAGTTCTATTTCGGTAGTTAGCTTCGGTGGAAACTGCTAAAACTTGATCCAAAGCTCTACTACTATGTTCTGAAGATGTTGCAATCAAGTAATGTAAGACACGTATCTGCCGCATTGGAGCTAGTTGTGAAAACCTTTAGACCATACACACAATGCACATGCTCAGCTATGGCATTTAGTATGTGGGCGACTTCAAAGTTCTATTTCGGTAGTTAGCTTCGGTGGAAACTGCTAAAACTTGATCCAAAGCTCTACTACTATGTTCTGAAGATGTTGCAATCAAGTAATGTAAGACACGTATCTGCCGCATTGGAGCTAGTTGTGAAAACCTTTAGACCATACACTCAATGCACATGCTCAGCTATTGCATTTAGTATGTGGGCGACTTCAAAGTTTTATTTTGGTAGTTAGCTTCGGTGGAAACTGCTAAAACTTGATCCAAAGCTCTACTAATATGTTCTGAAGATGTTGCAATCAATTATTGCAAGATACGTATCTGTCATATGGTGGAGTCAGGGGTCCTAAGGCGTTGGACAATGTCCCAGTGCAATGTGCTGATTCTTGAAAATATGGCATCACTTGACACTTCAAAGTTTTATTTCAAGAGTTACCTTCGGTAGAACCTGCTCAAACTTGCTACACAGTACAATTATTAGGTTATGATAGCATAACCATCGAATACAGGGCAAGTCCAGTGTCAAATACTTGTGGGCGGGGCTAATATGTGGGACGTGTGCACTGAAATGGGATGATTCCGAAAAGAGAAAAAGGTCACCTTCTAGCAGAATTCTACCCACTTCTAAAGCTTATGCTGGTATTTAGCAAGTATACTACTGTCCTGATGTTGGACATCAAGAAAAATGGGGTAACTACGAGTGCTACGACCAAAAAAGTGGTTTTCCGGTGTTTTTTGGCCTAAATTGGCAATTGTGAGTATGCTATGTTTGGCCCCTCCCCCGAGTGGAACCGGCCGGTAGAACTTGATAAAATTTTGTCTCCGTACACTAGATATCCTACGGAACAAAGTACAATCGTTTGTAGCCACGTTTCAAACAAAAAGATTTTGGACCCGAGGGGTAGGAGCCACCTTAAGAAGTCACGGATAGTAGTCAAGAGATACAGTATTCCTCCCAAGGTTAAGCCACACACTTTAAACTGGAGCTCAAGGTCAATGAAGGTGGTACTGCTGGAAATCCAGTCTGACCTACTAGAGAAGTGCATACTGTGAAACAATAGAGCGGTTAAGTTGCACGTTTTTTGCCTTTTTTCAAAACGCGGTGCAAATCTCACGTTACGTGTAATTCTTAGAGGTTAAGTTACACGTGCGACTTGACGTGAACTTTTGCCTGGCAGGATTCGGGTTTAGTTCGCACAAATATCAAATCTTCCAACAAACTCGATAAAACTACGGAAACTCGCACAAATTCGATCGGGATAACCAAGCGAAACTTCCAAAACCCCACGTCACGAACTTACGTGCGGGACAGTCAACTCACGTAAAACACGTCAAATTTTACGTGAGTTTTTTGAATTTTTGACGTAAAAGTTCACGGACGTAAGAATTTTACGTGAAACTTAACCTCTCTATTATGAGAAGAACTTGAAAAATGAGGGGCCACTTATTATCAAGTGTGACCTATTATCGGGAAAATGCAGTGTATCGTGGGCAACACACGCTGATTAAGCGAGATCGCAGTATAGCAGATTGCTCTACATCAGCATCAGGCATGTTCGGTTAGCTGTTAAAGATTTATACATTGGGTTAGCTGTTTTAAAAGATTTATACATTGGGTCAGCTGTTAAAGATTGATGATAATTTAGATGAGCTATTAAAACTGATACATTGGAGTAGTTGGTCAGGTTGACTAGCTTGGTTAGCTTGGTAAGAAATTACCAATCATTGTGGTTAGGCAGTTAACTGATTATTAGAGAAAATTGCATCACGCCGTGGAGTCTGCCACCCAAGATCATCAAGCTTGGGAAGAAGGGGGAGAGGCTGATGCTGGACTATCTTCACGTCAGTACTATCCATGAATACAAGAGTCTTGAGATGAAAATCGCTCACAGGGTTTCATCTCCTGCTCTCATTACGTCATTAGTATGTTAGAGTTCCAACACAGGAAATCAGCACCATGCTGATGGCATGGTAGGCATGGTACCAGCGATGTCGATTAGATGATCAACGGATTAGCTCAGCACTTTAAAAACAATTATCTGCAGCTTGAAATGAGCAGCTAGGATGTCTCCCACCTGAAACAGGATCCGCAGCTGATGTTACCCTGATTCATTGAACGCCAAAGCAACTCTGCTGCGAGATTGATACGTGTTTCAGGTCGATTACGCAATTAGTGGATTAGTCGAACTCGATATTAGCAGCCACAGCAGTGCAAGCTACACAGCCAGCACTCTACACTGCCCTGGTGTATATGCGCGCAGCCATGCAGCCAAATCACACCGCCGCCGCTGTTAGTACATACTTGCAGGAGCAGTCAAAGTAGCCGCGTCGGTTTGCGAAAGTCAATCGCGAGCACAAACTCTGGTAGACCACTACCCCATGTACAAACCGGTTGCTCTGTGAGTGAAAACGTCTTGAACTCGATATTAGCAGCCGCAGCAGTGCAAGCTATGCAGCCAGCACTCTACACTGTCGTGGTGTATAGACAAGCAGCAGCCATGCAGCCAAACCACACCGCTGCCACTGTAGGTACATACTTGCAGGAGCAGTCAAAGTAGCCGCGTTGGTTCGTACAGGTCGCCCGGGCAACGCAGTCGTGATGACCAGAAGCACATTCATCAATATCATAGCAAGTACCCGTCGGCCTGTACAGCATTGTGCCAACGGGACATGCGTGACGTCGCTGCCGCCGACGCGGCGCTCGGGTGGACAAACGGGATGCTTGGGTGACCGGGACAACGGTAGCGGCATGAATTGGCTCAAGTGGCATGCACCTCATTCGCTCACTGGCACCTAAATTGTCCCTGATGATAAAGTGGCAGGACAAGAACTTGTGCACAAACTGATACTATCCTTGAATATGTTACACCCACAACGGTAACCAATATTAAATAAAAAAAAATTTAATGTTGAAATTTTGTTGAGGAATTGAACAAGAGAAGTGAATGTACTGGCACATACGACCATTTTCCATTGCTTTGCTAATCATTTTGATCTGCGTCCATTTTTCATTGTTAAAGAGCTGAGATGCAAAACCCAAGAAGTGCCAAATTTGAGAAAATCAGAGTTTCAGGCAACTTTCAGCTCAGTGTCATCAAAACGTCTAGGGGAATCTTCGTGTTCAAAATTTGACCAGAACCATTTCAAAAATGGAACCCGAATGTGTATTTAGATACTAACCGCACATAAAAAGAATTCTTTTGGCGCTGCAGGAAGCCTCAGCCCTTCTTCAGCCTTTTTAGGCCATTATCCGAAAAGTAATGAAATGGATTTATCGGGTTTTGCATTCCAGATCTTCACATACGGCATTGGATTATCTTGATTTTAACACCCCCCCCCCCTCACACACACACACACATACACACATACATACATCCCAAGTTCAACCTACACACTTACTTGCACTTGCATTCGTAGGACCCATGTGTATTGATGCAGACCGCACGCTCAGCACACAGTCGTGTATTTGAGGATGCACATTCATCCATGTCCAAGCAATCCCCGGTTACTGCATAGTGCAGCAAGCCAGCTGGACACTTGGATGCTGCAACCAGGACAACACAAACACACAACATGCACCAACAACACAGCCATTTCACAAACACACAAAGTGAAGGACATCAATTGTGTGGCTATCACAGGAACATCTTATATTTTGTCACTCTTGCTTCCTTTAAGATAGGTGATCATTATTTGAGCACATTTTATTGATGTCATAACTGGAGTCTCTACTCCCTTCAAATCTGACGTGGGTGTAACTGGTCTCCCTTTTAGGGGGGGGGGGGGTTCACAGTTTCATATGTGTAGGGGATGCCTGGTGCATGTCATTCATGGTCATTACGTGCAGGCTGACACTACATGTAGGTCGAAATTTTTAGGGGGGGGGGGGGGTGCACGTGCCCTTTCCCCCCCCCCCCTCTCACTGTGCCCCATGCGATCTACGCGCCTGAATCACTTTTTCTATGTTGCCATGCCTGGCAAGGCAAGCAACACAGGCTAGAAAAACAAGGTGAAGTGAACCAAGACAGTGGTAATGCTGATATAGAGATACATGTATGGTTCACCTGGTCTGTGCATGATGGCATTCCGCCTGGCATTTTTTCGCCTCTATGCAGACTGGCCTAAAGAAATTTATCCCCCTGTACTCGAGACACCCTCCTCTTCATCTGGAGAGCATGTAGGCGCTAGGCACACACACTGATACTGTCCATTCCCTTAGGTTGGAGATGCATGAGGAATGGAGTGAACGGGAGCAAAGGCTGTCCTTTACACTTGCGTTTTAGCACCACTTGGTATTCCAGGAGAATTCCACCTGGAGACTCCTGCCCTACTGCCCCAGTAAGATATCATCTGCTGCTACGGTGCTACTAAGTTACTGGGAAGATTCAGCACCAAAACAACAGACTTATCCCCAGCACAGGAACTGATGAATAAAAGGCACAGTACTGCACAGACACTCTCAGCTAATGGAGATTACAAGACAGTTCATTGTTGTCCCTTTCTCCTCCTGACCACTGTGTCAACTGAGCTTACTTTGGCCATATGTAGCTTACATGATTACACTGCTACACTTTAGAAACACAGGTGTGACAGTGCCCAGTAAAATCTCCACAAAAGAAGCACTTGATGGTGTTATGCTTCATGCAGCCCTTCCAACAGGCATGATGTGCCTATGAGTCTACACTGTATCTTCCACTCTTACACTGATACAGTGATAAAACAGCACTCTAGCCTTGCATGTGTAAGGTAGTGTATCTACCACTTGTGTGATGTATAACGGTGATACCTTGATAAAGCAGCACTCTAGTCTTGGGTAGGGTAGTGTCTCTACCACTTGCACTGTGTGAAGATGGTTGCATGGTTTTTTCAGGTTGATCACTCTAGCAAGATGGCATGGTGTGAACTCTGGCAGTGTGAGAAATTTCATTTTCATTGCTTCCGTTGGTGATGTTCAGCCTAGCTCCTTTCTCTGTGTTTCATCTACATGCTGATGAGTGAAAAGAGGAAGAATCCTTACTGTCCACAGCCTCGTGTGTATGGGTGTCACAGTGGTATGTACTATCATGTACCAGCACAGTGTTGAGAAGAGAGGGAGATGTGGCCAAACACGTTAACCCTAGGCGTTATGCGTGAAGTCCTGTTGCTTTCCTTCACCTTTCATTACCCAGATCACAGTGCTATCTTGCAGCACAAGTCAGTGCGGTACATTTGCAAAAACAGTGCCTTGACCATGGCAGTGATGGCATTCACTCAAACAATAAGTCTCTCTCAGTCTCCAATGCTGCATTCATTGCATTGAATCAATGGGGAATACTATCAAGAGTACATACCCCCCCCCCCGTACTCTTGATACTATCTACAAGCCCATAGTAGTAAGGACATCATGATGTCCTCCGAGACAGACTCCAATTTGGCTGGAAAGTCCTTTGTAGGAGCTCTCCAAATAGCTGACCTGCACACCTCACTGGTCTGCCTCAGAATCTCTGCAAGAGGCCTTTCAGCTTTCTTTCTGGAGGGGGAATTCAGGGGCATTAATTGTTAAGTTAATTTAGGTGATAGCCCTTGTTGTAAAGGCCGGCAATGAAAGCCCCTTTCCCCAGTTCTCGTCCCAGCAGAACTTGTATGTGTCATCAGTGACATCCCCATAACCAATTATTATTTTACTTAGTCCTAAGCTTTCTTTCAGAACATAACCGAGCATACTCTGGGCTACTTGGAAGTAAGTGTATGTACAATGCGCCTCCCATGGTGCGAGATTTCAGCACAAAAGGCAACTTCAGAAATTGCCCCATCAAACCTAGTTAACGCTTACAACTGCTGGGCCAGCATAATGGGTGTCACTTTCATGGAGAGTGGAGGAAAGGTGTCTCTCTTTCTTTTTGAATGGCTGCAGTGACTTATCATCTGATCATGAGATTCCTCTGAAGATCATCAGTACACTCTGATCCACTGGTTTCCCGTTCATTAGAAGTGAGCGGAGCTACTGCAGTAGCTTGCCATTATCGTGGAAAAGTATAATCTTGATGAACTTCCAAAAAGGCCTGACCAAATTAGGCGGCTCAAACGCTCTTCTGCGGATATTGAGATAACAAAAAAGACATGCATCTAAAAATGTGACCCATAACAATGGACGACATTCTCTCCACGCAGGCAATATCACCGTGCATGACTTGTGTGCTCCTGTTGCAAGTGAAGTAGAGCTGGACACGTACATGTAGATCTACGCACTCAGCGGTCACTACTGGCTCGACAAGCGGCATTTCCCATGCTCGTTTGCGGCACAGGGGCCCTGGAGCAGCAAGAAAGCGGATTTGTCTCCACGATCAGGATAACATTGTCACCCGGGCAGGGATGAGAAGCGTAGATCTGCTCAGTCAAGTAGGCTATTGAAGTAGCAGATGCTGGAGCGTTTTATCACTGAGACACATACTGCAACGCCCAGCACCGCAGTAGGAAAGGCAGCTCTACTTTGCCGTTCAATAGCAGGCCTCGTCCTTCACCTTTCCAAAGATTTTAATCATGGTCGAAACTCCACTGGGACGCCGAAACACGCATCCAGGTGTGGGACAATTGACATCGCAGGTAACAATGGGTGTATTGTCGCGGAACAAGTAATTATCTAGTCGCAATCGCGTACCCTCTTTGCTAGAACAAATCGCATCAATTGAAGAGAGACACCACGCACACGTATTACAGTGATTCTGTTCAAGCAGCGAGGCAATCATGGCGACCGGTGTGCTGAGAGGCATACACGAAAAACACGTTGCACCCAGGCCAAGGTGGGAAATCTCACAACAAACATAACGACATTGTGGCTCACCTGCGTTTGCCGTGCGTGGAAGTGATGTGGCTATCAGGGCGAATATCGCCAGAGCTCGAGAGACCGCCATCACGCACCTTCTGTTCGGCAACAACATTCCATGGGAATTCTGCAAGCTGCTACTCTTCCTCAGCATGATGTCGGGACAGAAGATCAGTTCTAATCCAAATATGTGTTGCGTGCCAGTTCAGTTCACCACGCGCTAGTATAGTGCATCTCTTCCATGATTCGTCCTGAGAATCATTGGATCATGCTGACCAGTAGCACGGTAATTATAAGGTAGCAAAGTAACTTTAGATTGAACTTTGAAGTTCAGTTGTGCTCAACTAACACACCAGCGCTCAGTTATGATCTGCGCACTTGGCGGGAATGAACCAAGTAGATGAGGTTTGATCTTTGAACCCTGAGCCCGAGAGTAACGTGTTAGGCGCTCGCACACAAATACACGCATACATGTACACACCTGCACTGTCTCTCTCGCTCGCTCTCGCAGTCTCTCGCGATGGTAACACTGTTCCCTGATATAGATACTGACGACTGCGTGGGATGCACCAGTTTCAATTCCACTCTCCAGACTTTCCGCTCGCACAGCACAGCAGCGTAGACCTACGCTCAACTGTCGTCGACTATCGTCTAGCGACTGACACTCTCACATAGTGGCACGATTGCTCAGTGCAAAGATCCTGCACCTTACCGAAATCTAGAGTGCAAGCTAACTATAGCGGCTTGTGCTTTTTGCGGCACAGCGAGCTAGTGACATATCACAGCGGTAGAGTTCACCTTCGTGTACCACGCACTGCTTCCGTTTAACCCTGGTCTGGTCTGGAAGGAGCTGAGCCCCAGCCCTAGTAGATTAGATCTCTTGGACTTTGCTCCCTCGACTGAAAGCGAGACCTTGAGAAAGGGGAGGAGAGTGCAGCTTAGAGCACAGTGCTGTTGAAATAGTGTGTCCAGCGCACCAACGTACTGCACTGGTTTGGGGCGTCCACAGTCTCCTCTCTAGCTTCCGTCGACCCCTCACGATCTTTTGTCGGTACTTGATGGTGTCAACACGGTCAATACAGGTACCCTGGGGGCAGCCGAGTGCACAGGGGCCCACTAACCAGCATTCCTCTCGTACACCACACTCAGCGGCTGGTATTTGTATTTGTATTGAATTTTGTATTAGCATGCATGTCTGGAGCAGTGGAGGTCTGAGCGAATCAACGAAACCTCGCCAGCCAACAGCAGTCTGCTGATAGTGGTGATACTTCATCTGCGCTTCCAGTCTGGTGATACGAAGGAAGAGCTCTACCCTTTCAGGCCTTTGTTCGGGAGGATAGTCACACAAGAGTGCCCAGCCGTCAGCCCTGGCCTGGGTCTGCAGATCACGCCACTGAGCGCGCTGCCGCATGCATAATATTATGCTAATCTCGTTCTGCGTGTGACTCGTGATCCGCAGGAAGTAATTCTAAGTGGCGTCTCCGCTATACAATGATGAAGGTCCTGAATTCAACTGCTCATACTCGTTAACACTAATTACTTATTGCCTGATTTTAAGCACTACGCAGGCAATGGTTTCTACTACAAGTACTTTCTAGTGAAAGCCAACTGAAATTCAGCCCTTGAGACTGAGGCGCGTCATGCACATAGATTGGATTTCAACCTGTACCATTGCATGTCGTGTATTCGGGACCACACACTGTGGACGCACATGTGCATAAGAAACGTATCTAGCAAGCAAGCACGTGGATGAATACGTGTAGAGATTATAGTAACAGTGGAACAAAGCCATAGACTGATAGAGAAAGCCGCACATGCCGGCCATGGGCCATGTCAAACCGTCGGCAAATGCCGCACAAACCTACGTGTAGAGGGTCGGTGGTGCCGTTTCCCGAAGTCCACTCTAGCCGTAGATCTACCGTCGTACCGAGCAGCACGCAAATGCCAGTCGCCAGCCAAGCAAACCTAGCAACTGCAATGCTAACTAACTTCACAGTCAAGCCGCGGCCGAGGTTAGCACCACCACCAGTCCACCATGGCATACGAGTCAGTATGGTGTCTTCTGAACAACTGGCCGAAATCAGAGTCACAGTAGCAGGTCTACGAGTGGCGATGATGAATTACGCCGAGAAGGTGAGCATATACATTCCTTCTATGGAGTGAACCCCAGACATCGCCTTGTGCCGTGTGATCCAAAGTAGCAGCAGCAGAAACAGTGCAACTGGACGGGCTGCTGAGATCAGGCGATTCTAAGTGGAGCTAGGTGATCTCAGCTTTGGCGAGGCGGCAACCCTAGTCCCTAAACAACCTTCCAGTCTCAATCACGCGTTGTCTTGTTCAGCAGATGTGTGCCATGAGCCAGGACTGCCGCGTTTGTGGTTTGAAAAGTCGCTACAATGGCAAATACACACACTGAACTTCTGAAGTAGCTGGGAGCGCAAGGTGAACAGCTTTGCTTCGTACCTCGTCCTAGTACCAGCAAGAAGCGTACAAGTTGTGGAAGATGTTTATCACTGCTCGTTTGGATTGCAATAGGATTCTGCTCTCTAGCAGGTACGAGAAACGTCCTTGCCATTGGACGGGCTAGCAAAATGGTACACTGAATATCATAGTGTTAGTTGGGACGTGAAGATTCCTGTAGTAAGGAGAGCACTTCAACATGTACCTCACCAAGGCCGAAAGAAAGCAGCGTGGGAATTGTGCTGGCCTCTGATGACTTCGATCACTATTGGCGAGTGTTGACTTTGTGGTGGTTGTGTTGCTTTAGCCACTAATTTCCGATTGGAAACCCCAGACATAGCCAGCTGGAGTTTTCGTTGCAGGATTTTACTTGAGGGCATACAGCAGGCCTTCGGCCCTATCGCAGGTTACTCAGGAAGAATGTCGATGTGATCGGGGCTGAAAAAGAAGGGTATCTCGTCAGTTGGGGAATCTGTTACATGATCTGCGTAGCACGGAATACGTGTACGTTTACGTGTACGTGTACGTGTATGTGGACACGTGTAACCGTAGGCTATGCACGCAAGACTTTGAAGTGCACACTAACCTTACGAGGAACATATCGATGGAACATGGACAACTTTCCAACGCTGTGTGCATGTGCGGCAGTGAGCCCAAGTGCACTACCCTAACGAGGGACAAAAGGATGGAAAATGGTCAAATACATCCGTATTTCTGGTTACAAATATTACACAGCAATGAATCAAACAAGTCTCTTTCCGCTGTTACTCCGAGTTTCGTGTCAAAACACTTCATCAGACAGCATATGAAGTGTTTTGACACGAAACTCGGAGTAACAGCGGAAAGAGACTTGTTTGATTCATTGCTGTGTAATATTTGTATTACTTGCTCTGTCCAGTGGACATTGAGCACTGTAAGCAGCCTAGGGACTTTAGACAACTGTCGTATGTCTGGTTAAATAGCTATGGTGATGCGTCAAACGCCTACCTTGTACCTACTCCCAATTTACTTCCTCTCGCCCTAACCCTTGGTCGATAATGGGGGCAGAAAACCAGGGACATGTTGGTGCTTTTTCTGGTATGTTTCATGGAAGCGCGAGCTCCAACATTTGAATAATAACAATAATATTTGGAGCCGCCACCTTCTGCTTCATGCATGCTAGGTAAATGTACTTAAGTATATGGATAAGAAGAGGAGCAGAATTGGAGGAATTGCCAGCCATAAGCTGTGTATAGTTCTGCCAATTTCCATGCCTTTCGAGGAAAATCTGCCAATATTTCGAGCATTATCCGCAAAGGTCTACTTCTCAGAGGCCATGCAGCCTTGGTAGTTTATACATCATCATTGCGTGCCAGTTCATAATAATCTTAGCCTACATTTGTGCTGAGCGGCTGAGTGGCACTGCTGAAGGACGGTGGATATCAGGGAGTAGTACATTACATGGTATTTACTTCCTCCCTGATGGATATGCAGAAAGATGGTAACCTTGCCGAAGGTCAGTATAATTCTTGTTATTATCAGCCTTTTCGTGTTGACATCACCAAGCAAGCTTGGCTTGTTTTCGCTTAAGCCGCGGTCCCAAATCACATGCACAACCATGTACATTGTCGTGATGTTTGTACAATCATGCACATGTATTCGCAATCAGTTTGGGTGGGGTGTATCACCAGAGTTACAGTGTATCAACCATGTTTGTCTAAACGTCCACATACAAGTCACTTCGTGCGCAGTAGGTCTGCGCCGCAATATTGTGATCAGATTGCCGGCAAATAACTACATGATGTATAGCCCAAGGGTACGTTCGTGTTACTAGTCAAGAATGGGGTGTTCTAGGCACAAGGTACAACTCACAATGGAGAACAATGTCCATGAACCCTGTACGTCTGTAACCGTGACTTAAAACTACTTTTAAACTGACGAGTTAGGCCGTCTTCTAGGCACAGGATACAAACAAACAATGGAGAACAATGTCCATGCACATGTATGGTTATACCGTGACTTGGCCTCGTAGTGGACGAGTCGGGCCCCCTGGCTTAGGCCCTGGCAGCTGGCTTAGAAATAAAACCACTGCCTCTGGCACCCAGGTCACTGGTTGCCTAGCGTGGGGCCGTGCTCCCAAAATTAAGCAAAAATGGTGAAGGCCCATTTGGCATCATAAGCAATGGACGTACAGCCATTAATGATAGGTATTGTGATGAGGATGTGATGGGTACGATGCACAATGTACACGCACACGCCCAACACCAACAAGGCAGACTTGAGAATATCATGGTACACCAGCTATCAGAACAATGTTACCAGCTCTCAGCCCCTGTCCTGCACCTTTCTACAGTACATTCCGATTTGGTGCAAAACTGCCACAGCCTCTTGTCCCGACGTGACATCAACCCATTTTAACCCACCCTTGTATGTTGCCTGATATTTCCCGATATTTCATGCAGTCAGGTGACATGAAACTCAGAGTATACTGTAGCAGTAAGCTAGCCTTGCCCCTTCCCTGGTTCTGTGTAACCCACCATTGTTCCAGTGTCCAGTAGAACCCCACATCATGCAATGACCAGACAGAGAAGAAGGCAACTCACAGACGGTGGAACTCATGCATTATAATTATAATTATTACCAACGCCCCGCGGCACCATCACTGCTGCGTGTCGATGCAGCCTATATTCAGTGCATGTACATACATATGTAGTTGTCTACTATGTAGTTGTCTCGTTTGTCCTACTCGAAGTAGTCTCAGTATCAATGCCTTTCATTATCCAAGAGGTACACAAAAGGAAGTATATAGGGCTGTTTTTGTTGTAACTCAGAGTTTCATGGCAAAAACCAATCATCAGATGATGATGATGTCTGATGATTGGTTTTTGCCATGAAACTCTGAGTTACAACAAAAAACAGCCCTATATACTTCCTTTTGTGTACCTCTTGCGTACTACGCTTTGCCCATTCCGGGCATTTGAGCACTATTGCAGGTTAAGGCGCACACCCTCTGTGCCTTTCATTATCCATAATACCAAGAGTAGATAAACTGTTTACCACTCTTGGTAATACTAGTACCGGTGTTTTCGAGCTGGGTATGTGAATACAGTATAGAAAACAGTTTACATGTACATGTACATGTACTTCAGTAAAACAGAACAGTCAAACAGTCGACAGAGAGGCTCTGTGGTTGTAACTCAGGGTCTCATGCACAACCATGAAATCATCAAACCACTCCAGAAGAAAACATAACAATGCAATGGTATGCAATATATGCAAAAAACAAGCATTCACCTCTTCGAATGAATAATTGAATGCTCTCTGTTCGAAATTCCTCGTGCAACGCGGACGTCCAGCACAAGAAAGGTAAATTCACAATCAAGTTTCTCTACAGGTGTTCTTCCGCTCCTGATGGGGCGTGAAGAATCACTGCAAGTAGTTCTTGTGTCAAAGCCCAGGTACGAAAGGGTTTGCTCCCCACACTGGAGCTCGCGCTATTCCGCCGACTTTACTTGACACTTGACTGACTCACGACTAAAGCCCAGGTACGTTTGAAATTATTATTAATTATAAGACTGCAGAGCCTCGTACCATCCTCCTGCGGTGCAGGCAGACCCGTACCCGAGAAACACTCTTCTGTTCACCATGGTTCAAGAGATCTTTAATTTGTGCGCGCATGCTGGCATGTTGCAGCGCCACACACGACATAATGT